AAGCTTGGATGTATGGGTGGTGTAATGAATAACGGCTTGGAATTGGAAATTGGAAATGCAATGTCAATCTTTATCTACTGTCCTCCTAATTATCCTTTCCTCTTCCTGCTCATTATTAATATTTCTGTTCCTAATTCTTTCACATCCTGTAACCCCTTGTGTCTTAGTGGCTTGTCTGCCTTGCATGGGGTGAAACCGATTTAAAAAAATAATAATATAATGTAGATTAATAAGAGATATTTTTTTCTTTTAGCTTTAGTTTACAAACTTTGAGCTTCATAAGCTGAAGATAAATTGTTAATGTCATTTGATTGAGTAAAGCATATTTTTTTCTATAATGCATACCTATTTTTCTTGGAGCAAAATTTGATTTAAATTAAAACAATGTGTAAAAGATTAATTGATATCATGCTAAGAGGTAATCGGACATAAGTGAAATTGGAAATCTAAAAATATACTTGGAGCCATTAAAAAAAATATTGAATACATTTATAGATTCAATTTCTTCCTCCCTCTCTCTCTCTTTCTCTCTCTCTCTCTCGCAGTACCCCTTGTGTCTTAGTGACTTTATTACCTTGGTTTGAGTGAAATGATTAAAACAAAAATACAAAATGTATAGAATTACACAAAATATCAAAGATTATAAAATTTAAATTGAAAATTAAGCGTTCATGATATTTTTTTATATAAGATTGTAACAGATGTTTGTTTTATTTCTGTTATGGTCCAATATCTTCGCACCACATTTATGGTCCAAGGTTAGAACCAAGGAAGAACAACACAAACACAAGAGTAGAATAACAAAGATATATTACAACAGAAATATAGTACAAGAAGTTGAAGTTGTTAGTAATGACTGTCCGTCTGGTTTAGAGGGAACTAATATTGTCTCGACTCATTACACCATTCATTCGGTATTTAGCCAATCCCCCCCCACGAGGGTTGCATGTGGCACAAGGCCGAGTTTAACATGGGTTTCCCGAGCATGTAGGCTCGTCTAAAAATATACCCTTTGAACCCGCCTAGACGGGTTTAGGGCCTGTCTACCTCCCCAGACGAAACCCTACCCTTCGGCAAAGCCCCGTCCGGGTTCCTCTCTGCCAAAGCAGAGAGTTCAACAGTCATGAACTGGTGCTGGTTACACCATTCATTCATTATACCTCTTGAGAGGCACAGTATTTATAGTGTCAGGAAGAGTCCATTATCGTTACAGGTAAGTTCCCATAACAATTTCTTTACCCATCAGATAGATAAGGCTACACTAATAAAATTATTATTAATCTGAATAAGTTCCATCTCAGGTTGAAACATGTTACATAGGATTTTTTCCCATTTTGGCATTGAATTACCCACTATTACTTTGATATATATATATATATATATATATATATATATATATATATATATATATATATATATATCATATCTTCAATACCATCTTTTATAAGATTGTCTGACTTAAAAGGTGCATTTCCAAATAATATGCATCTATTATTGAAAATCTTCATTCTTTTCTATATAAGTACATATACATTTACATGGATTATTTTTGTAGTTTCAAAAAATACAAGAGCTAGCGGAAAGAAAACCAAGTATGACATCTCAGTTGTATGAACTGATGCACATTGTTGGTTGTGCCATTTTCGGGTATTTTGAAAGTTAACATTTTGAGTTTACCAGTCTGTGGCCCCACCCCCAAAATCCCCACTGCTTAAGAACCCCTGTTCTAATAGTTTCTTTTCTCACCTGTGGAATTCTTTTCCTGTTACTTGCTTCCTTGCCACCTACAATTTTCAGAAATTTAAATGCAACACCAATCTCCATCTTGACTTCCTGAACTCTGTTCTTTTATTGTCCTTTCTCCTCACGAAAGTCTTTGCATGTTAAAAAGTTTCATAGTAAGATGTCTTTCTTTTCTTTTCACTTTTTTTTTGCCCCATGCACCCTTTTCATCATAAGTCATAATGTCATCTCCCCCCCACCATTTCCAAGATTGTCTGACTCAAAATATGCATTCCAAATAATATGCATATATTATTGAAAATCTTCATTCTTTTCCATATTAGTACATATCCATTTACATGGATTACTTTTATAGAGGAGTCTTACAAATTTAATAGCAATAGAAAATGATGATGGATTTTTAAACTTGAATCCATATACAGTAATTTGTTTTAATTCATAACTAATTACTAAATAAATAAACTGAAGCACACTTCAATAAAAAAAAAATTAGTTCAATAAAAGATTAGGGTAATCCATACTTGACTTGCATCGGAGATTCGTGTGACGATGTATGGAGATGGCGTTGTAATAACAAAATGTTGTACATCGAGTTCGATGTAACTCCAAGACCTGCTGTATAAGATTTATCATGCCATTTTTTTTACACTCATAATGGGCTCCAAATTCTGTAAATAAAAAATAAAAAAAAGTAAAAGATTTCCCTCCTGAAATTCTGCATAGAAATAGCTACGGATATTACCCATGAGGCATTTGAGTGCATACTACTTCGCGTGAGTTGGTAACACTACAATACAATAGCATCGCTGATATCTAAAGAATCCAACGAACAATTATCACTTGAGTACGTACAAGCGTGGCTTAAGATTCTAGTTGCTAAAGCTAAAACAAAAAAAATGAAGGATTTAAAATCAGTTGGAAGAGAAAACTAGATAACTGGTCTCTTCTTGACAGCTGCTGGTTGTGAAGTTATTATAACATTATCAACAATTGCCCAACCAAGACTGAGGAAATGACGTTTGACAATATAAGTCAACTAATTGTGAAAAACATAGCACCCAAGAAAATGCTAGTGAATGTAGAGAGAGCTAAGTTCATAAACATTACTCAAAATTGTATTATGATCCAGAATGATGATATTTCATCATTCTAAAAATAACCTCGTCATCAGTGATGATAGAAAAGAAAGATATTTCATCATCCTAACCATCATTATAAAAATGACCCTTCCACCACGAGAGAGTTAATAGAATAGTGTAGACTAGGGTACCCATAGTAGTAGAGTAGACAAATAGTAGTAGTCAGTAGAAACACACGTCTGCCAGCACTCCGGGAGATCGAAAACAGACGATTTCAAACGCATCCTCACAAACAAAATTATCGGAACCAGGCCAAGTACTGACTTTTAAACAAAAGAGACACTAAGAATACTTTTACACACACCATGTCAACACGTGTCTCAAGTTTTTATTGTTTATGTTATTATAGGTATTAATTCGTTTCGTTTTCAATAAAAAAAAGAAATAGATTCCTCCTACACCACAAATACATATAGCAACGGTGTAATTACTTTAACAACACTCAAAAATATCGTCAGGATTACTACTACATCAATCCTAACTTACCTATCCTGTTACAAGTGAATGAACCAATAATCTTCCACAAGAAGCCAGTTAACCCCTACTTGGAAATGCACTATTCCTGTTGTAATTTTCACCATCACCATCTTACAAATATATAACAAGCATTCATTGGTTAATCTACTCAAAACTAGCTCGCTGATTGGTCAGTTCCGACCAATCAAATATCCTGCACGCGTCAAATCTGTTTTACTGCGTTTTCCATCTGATCCTGTCGCGTGGTACAACAAAATTATATAAACAGAACACGTGTAAACTCCCTCGTGTTTCTTTTCATCTCTCTCTCTCGCGTCTCATTTACCAAGATGTAATCTTCAAGAACTCCCGTCTTAACTAATGCAGTCAGACGTTAAAGACCATTATCAACATTCACGCAAGTACGAACTCTGAAACCTCTTCTGAACTTTTACCAACTTGTACAATACACAATTTCAAACATGCTAAAGAAACTTTATTCTTCTAAACTACAGTTTAATAATTACTTTCACTTTATGAACTTAGGTACAAATATTACCTAATCTAAGAGACACAACTCTGTCTAACCTTTTCACTCAGTATTCATGCATGTATATCAAATATTAATAAATTCAATTGTTACGCTTTGAAACAAGATGTTTATGAATCATTATTCTCTGTCTTGTATTAATTGTTGTGGATGGAAGATTATTGAACACACACAATTTTAAATCTTCTGATAATTCAAACCTTCTATTCCTCTCCAACACACATCTCACACATCCATAACATGTTCTTTGTTTGAAGCAGGCCGCTAAATATTGTGAATTTGAGAAACCGGATGGTTAAAAAAAATCTATGAAGCAAAGTTAAGACCAAAGGAAAATGAAGCCCCCCTCCCCCTCCCCTCATATTTTAAAGTAAGAAACGTAGCAGCCCATCTACTAATTTTGGAAAAACTAAAAAGGTTACTGGAACAATATTTACTAGAATGAGTTCCACCAGAAGGGAGCAAATGGGCTTCCCTATTTGTAATTTTATAAAAGGAAGATGGGGACCTGCATATTTGTGGTGACTACAAAATAGGTGTAAACCACAAATTATGTGTAGACGCATATCATATCCCCAATGTAGAATGGGCGTTGAACTTTCTTGCAGGTATGAAAACATTCTCTAAAAAACATTTTTATCTAAAGTCGGCATACCATCAAATAACTATTGACGAAGACTTTATAGAAGCCACAACAATAAACACGTCATTAGGCTTATTGAGATGGAAAAGAATGCTGTATGGAATTAAAACCGCAAGTGCCATTTTTCAAAGGACTATATAGAGCAAGTTATTGGTAACGATATAAAAAATACAGTATGCTACCAGGATGAAATTCGTGTTGGTGCTATTAATGACGAATAATTAAAATGTAAAACCAGTATGGTTTTGAATAAGTTAAAAAATGCTGGATTAACAATTAACGAAAAAATATGTGCACGACACTAAAAAATATATCACTTTGGAGATACAGTGATCCCTCGCTAATTCGCGGTTCTACTATCGCGGATTCCCGACTTTGCGGATTTTTAAAATATATATATGGAAAATATATCGCGGAGTTTCTGGAAAATTCTAGAAAAATATATGAACACCTAAAATTTTTCATTAAA